TTTGTTTAATACAAGGCATCATAATTATTGTGGCAGCAATGAGCAGTTATGCAAGGCCAAGGAATTCTGACAGCAGCAGTTATGCATGACTAAGGCATGCTGGCAAGGGACAAGAAAGGGAGAATTACAGGGGCAGTTGGTGATAGTTAGAACTGCTAGTTTGCTCCAGATTTATCTTCACCCTTTGGCAGTTGGGGGTGTCAATTTCCATGCCATGTGGCATGTTCCCCTTGTATCTTGTTGCTTGGTTGAATTTGGAATTCTGATTGTAGCCTATTTATGGGCATGCCATGGTTACTTGAAGATGGTCAAGTAGTGGAGTGCCATTGGCCATCCTTTGTATTATTGTTGGTGTAATAAAAATGTTGGGTTTACCTGTAATGGCTACTGTGTTGTGCATTCTATATTACTTGTCTTAAATCTCATAGTGTGCGTGAGTGTTGGTTTAATTGGCTGACTAAGCGTGCTGAAACTTGTGTCATCATAGGCAAAATTTGAGTTGAAAAATTGACCCTGTGACACTAACCATGGCAGCCCTCACTTATGGCACATGAAACCTAGCCACACGACAACCCCAATGTAATACTCCTTAACCACCCACACTAGTCACCTACACTCCCTTAGCCTACTTCCCACTCATGGATGCACATAGCCCACAAGAGACACCCATACTTCCCACTCACGGATGCACACAGCCCATTGTAGACACCCATAGCACATCAACAACACAACCCCACAATCTATTCCCACCACTTTCTTTCCTAATGCACCAACATGCATGACACTCACGGGTCTCCATCTTTTCATCTCTCTTCTTCCAAAGCCAATAGCCCCAGTCACCATAGCACCCTTACAAGCATACCTACTCACACGCACATTATGCACTCTAGCATATACATCCCATGCACGAACATCGTCTTCTCTCTGCACAACCTCCACTGACAAGGTCTACCCTCCCACCATCAATGCCCACAACTCAACATCTAATACAAAACCCACACCCATACAACCAGCCCCCAATCACCAGGAAAATTGCAGTAGATAAGAACAAGAAAGAAACGATTTTGAAGGAAGAAGGGAAAAAAGCACTTACCTCAATGGAAAAGGTGATGGATGAGAGGCTAACAAAAATAGTTAAGAGGCCACCACTGAACCACCTCAAAAAACTAGCTACTCCGTCTCTCCAGTATGAATCATGATAAAACTAAAACTATAGTTTAACAAATGGGTAATACCTACATATGGTGGGTCTTGGGGTTAAAATTACTGAAATGCCCCAAGTTTTCCTGCTGTACACATTATGTTTACTTAATGTGCCAATAAGCCTAACAATTTGCTAGAATTACCATTATGATGCAGATTAATTTATTATGCAAAATTATATTAAATCTCACTTAACATACCCCATTTGTGCAATCAATTATATTTATTTATTTTTCTTTTCGAAATTTTATGTCAAGAAAATATTCAATATTGATGGTGAAAAATATTGAAATTTAGAGAAAGCCGACAGGTTCTCAAAAAATATGAAGTAGGACTCATTTAATATTTTGAAAAAAATTTGGGGTAATTTTGTAAAATCAGGGGTATTAGTGTATTACATGTGCCACACGGTCTTAAATTCTCTTGGTGGAGTAGGCAACCTATAGTTGAAAGTTAGCTTGAAATACTTTGGTTTGGGTTCAACAAAATAATAAAGTGCTTTAGGTGCAAATCCCAAGGGCTGGCTTGGTGGCATGGCCTTGGGTCTTGGGCGTGTGCTGCCTCCGAGGTTTAGGGATCGAAATTTCTTTGGTGCTAATAATTTCTTGGGGCCATTAGACTAAGGAAAAATCCTTGAATTAATCGTGGTGCACTTGCGGAAAACTTTTTGCTGAGGGCTTGTGCACCCCTGGGGATTAGTTGAGCTTTGATTCAGACACCCCAGTGCCAAGGGGGAAAAAAAAAAAGGTGCTTTAGGTGCAAGATGGCCAACCATAGCAATAGAAGATATGGGTCCCCAATAGCTGTTTTTTGAGTAATGGCCATGAAATTCCAATTAATGGATATTTACTGTTTATTTAACAGAAGACAAAAAACAAAAAACAAATAATAGAGACAAAAAACCAATTTCACCAGTCCTAATCTTTGGTGACTTATTGTCTCACATGCATCACTAGTCATATGATCATGGACTTATTGGGAATTGATGGGTTTCACATATGTGGATTTTGATGAAAATACAAGTGCATTGGTCCATGTTTATCCTACGAAAGAAGGTGCTTACAAGTATTGAGAAGCTTTTGAAGGCCTTTCTATGGAAACAAGCAGACCTAGGGACCATGGGATCTAAACTAGCTTGGGCTGCTATGAGCTGCCCACATAAGTAAGGGGGCCTTAGGTTGAAAGACCTGGGCATTTGGAACAAGACTGCTGTTAAACATTTATGGTTATTTCTTTGTGATGAGGGACACTCTATTTGGGTTAAGTGGTTGTACTCTAATTTGCTGAAGGACTGTTCTGTTTAGGAATCACAAATTCTTGGGAATTACACATGGGTATGGAGAAACTAATGAAGCTGCAAGACATTGTGAGATCCTATATCAAGCATGGTGTTGGGAATTGGGACAACACTTGATTACTGGCTACCGACTGGTCCTATTGTGGAGAGCAAAGGGGAGAGGCTCATTAAGGATATAGGGCTTGGAAGGGATGAAAGTGTCCTCCGAGGGTTGCTGGCATGGGCCATGTATAAACTCTATTGAGTTGATTGAGCTAAAACCCAAGATGAACACTGTTATGTCCCCCAAGCTTATAGAGGTGGTGTTGTATTGTGGAGACAGCTCATGGCATCTCCTTTTCCGTGACGACCAGGTTGTTCCTTGGCACAAGCTGGTGTGGCATCCTCAACGTGTTCCACGTGATGCTTTTATTCTTTGACCTACAATTAAGAAAAGGCTTCATACACATGATGATTAGCTTGCTAATGGGAAGATATCCTCCATAAGCTATTGGTGGCATTTGGAACTAGCTGTGCGACAAGTGCAATGTTTGTTGGGAATAAACCCACCCAAGCAATGGAAGCAAAAATAAAACTAAAATAGTCACAGAAAAGGAAGAACACAAAAGTTTACATGGTTCATAAAAAATGTCTATATCTACTGGTGAGCTCTGTTATTAGAATCGTACGATTTGCGATTCGAATCGTACGAGTCGATTCGATTCAATTCGATTTAGGGGGCAATCGATCCGAACATGGTGTGTGTGAATTGCAAATAGCTATGAATCGTAGGTGAATCAGTCAATCAGTGAACCGAATTCGTTGAATCGTGAATCAATTCAATTCGCTAAAATCAATGTTTGGCTTTGTTTTTTGTTCACACAATCTTTTTAAGGTCTTGAGGATTACTATATGTCATCTTTTAACTTTCTCCCTCCCTATTTACTCTCAAATACTCAAACCTTAGTGGTAAAAACTTAACTCTCTCTCTACAATATCGTAAGCTTACATATTCAATTTTATCTAAGTATTTGCATTTACAAAATCAATTTTTTAAAGGCATCAAGTGAGATTTTTGGAAAAGTTTGAAGATTTTGGTTTTTAACCTTGTAAAAGGTTAGAAAACATTGTTGTTGAGTAAAGAATGGTTGATAAGAAATAGTATCCAAAAGGGAAAGTTGAGGTGGGAAACATGGGAACCCATGTCAACTTCTTACCCAAACCGCATGATCATCATTTAAAACAATATTTTCATCGATTTAAGTCTAAATATTTCATATTTAGTAGATATATTTAATATCTTAGTGTGTAAATATATTTTTCTATGCAATTTAAAAAGGGTGACCAAATCTTTACGATTCACGATTTGATTCGATTCGCGATTCAGTACAATACCATTTCGATTCATGATTCGAATCCTGATTAAATCAACTACGCTGGTGAGTGAAAACAATTCAGCAACTGTAGAAAAATTCTAATGGTGAGACAAAGACACTCCCTGTATTTTTCCTACAACCCTTCACTTTTATTGCTCTCTAGCTCACACCCAACAACAATACACATTGTTATACACACTGTTTTGTCCCTTGCTCATTACTCACTGTGTGTCACATACCCATCACATCACACAATATATATAAATATATATTAAGGTAGTATATGTGATGCTAAAAGCCTTTAAGTACACTTCCCAGAACTTCGTCTCTTTTCCCAAAGCCAAAGCCAAAGCCAACAACAGCTCATCTACTTCAATATTTTCTCAAGCCAACCCTGTCATTTCCCAACCAATCTGCCACAATACCATTTCATCTCCCCTTGCCGACTGAACATAAATCATGAGAAATAAGTAAACTGTATGATATACACAACACCACTGCCAACCATGCACAACTCCATACGAAGCCTTCTAAATTCTTTCCATCAATCGTAAGGCTTCCAAGACCAAAATGAATCATTTTCATTAATTAATAATTTAACATGGACAGAAAAACCTAACAATATTCAGTGGCCTAACAGGCATTGGGATGACCTAATTGAATGGACAACAGTGAATTGTTGTGTTGGTGCCTATTTGTAGCCTCAGTGTAGCCTCAGTGTATGTTATTTGGAAGGAAAGGAACACCAGACTTTATTAGAATAACTTTGGAGATGCCACATCGGTTATGGAGATAATGATGAATGTTCGGTTCCTAGCCAGATATGTAGATTTAACATGAGTGGAGGCTACCAATTTCTATATTTGTCAATGATCAACAATAGTAGATCATCTTTTGTTTTTACACTTTAGTGAGATTGTGATATCATGGGCCTAGGATCATTGTTTGCTTGCCCTTGGATGGGCCCTGTCTCTGTCCCAGATGGCCTCTATCTTTAGTGTTTAGCCAGGGGTATGCCCCTTGTATCTTGTACATTTTCCTTTTTTATTTATAAAATGGTAGAAGCCTCTTTTAGTTGGTTTTTTTTGTCTCCAAGTAACAAAGTGTGGTTGATATCTAATTATTTATGATACTTTTCTTTTTATTGTTTGAGTGATATCATGTCGTGTCATTACTTTGTTGTCCTATATTATCATTCTACCATCCTCATGTCTTATTTGTTACTTCTCCAGAATGCTCTAACTGATCCTCAACGTGTGCGCACTCCTGCTGTCACAGAATACTGGAAGCCGTTGGCTGAAGATGTTAGCACCTACAAACACCCAATAGAGTCAAACTAACACATTGTTTCTTATAAGTTTTCCTTTTGTTTTCCTTTTCCTTTTGTTTTGTTTCCTTTCCTTTTTCTTTTTACACATGCTATGGAAATTTAGTTATCTTATTGGAGTTATTCTTACAGATGGACTTAACTGCTGGAATAGAAGCAGAATATCATCACAAAAATAATCGGGTTAGTTTTTCATTTATCTTCTTTTAGTTTCATGTTGAATGTTCTCTAAATATAAATGATAAGCCTGTTGTGCTTGTTCTACAAATAATATTGCATTTCATAGGAGATGCCTCAGCAATGTAAATTGGCTTTATTTTAATACTGCGATCTGCTTTGGTAACCTAATTTCTTGGGAATTCAATTGAAATGTTGTATATGTTTTTTGAGAAATGCAAATGCTAGGAAACGTGTAGTAAAGCATATGTGGATGCAAATGTAAGCCTGAGTGAATTTTTTTTTGGGGAAATTACAAAAAAAAATCTCAAAGTTTGAGCCTTGTAACCAAATAAACCATGAGTTTTTAATTTTATCAATATAAACCCTAAATTTTTTTATTTATTTTCAATCTCAACTATTTGCCTATTTCTATTAAGTAAAATCGATGAAAAATGGGTATTTTAGCCATTGAACTCAATGAAAAGGGTATTTTAGATATTTTATGTATATTTACATTGAGTTTAATGACTAAAAATACTCTTTTTCCATCGGTTTTATTGAACGAAAATAGGCAAATGGTTTAGATAGGGTTTAAATTGACAAAATTGAACTCCTGGTTTATTTTGTTACGAGACTAAAACTTGGGGTTTTTTTTTGTTTTGTTTTGTTTTTGTTTTTGTTTTTTTTTGTACTTTCCTATATTTTTATTTATTTTATTTTATTTTTTAAGCATGGCAAAGGCTTGTCATACCTCTCTCTCTCTCTCTGAGGCTGGTGAATCTACCTTATATGTTGGACGGATGTACTGGGTTACAAGAGCATCTCCTATTCACAGATAAGAGCACAACAATAACCTATTCACAGAAACAGTAATGTTGATAGCTTCTCAAGAGCATCTACTGATTTATATTATATGTTGAATTCTTTAGTATAAACAATGGCTGAAACATCTGTTTACATTTGAGTTGTGGTTTGGAAGGTCAAATGAGTGATTAGGCTTGACAGTGGGCTGGGTTTTAAGGGAGAATAGGTCCTTTGACACAGAACTGAGAGAAACTACCAACATTTCTTAACATCTAAGTCCGAAAGAAATGTGTGAGATGATAAATTGAGAAATAAAGATAGTTTCTTTACAATCCATAACTATAACATGTTGATAGGGCAACCCTTGTTTGGTTGGAGGCCAATTGTAGGATTTGGAAGCCTAGGGTGAAGCCCTTGGGCCCAAAGACTTTTTGGTCCCATAAATCTAATTTTCTAGCACATGATTTGGGAAATCCTTGTTTAAAACATGGTACCACATAAGAATTTGTGGCATTTTAAAGATAAATTATAACTTCTAACAATTAATCCGTCTTTCTTCAGTCAAGCTGGTTAATTATAAACATAATTCTCGATCCGTATATGTCACTGTATGCATTCACTTTTCGTGCAGGTTTATTGCTGGAAAGGACTCCGATTTTCTGCTCGACAGGACTTGGACGGGTTTTCTAGGGTATAATTTGTTTTACCACAATCGATATTCAATATCTTGTGCAGCAGGTTAACCATTCTTCAAATAGAAACTGATCCAATATTATTTATTTATTTATTATTATTATTGTTTTTTGCAGTTTACTGAATATGGTATTGAAGGGGTTGTGCCTCTTGAACTTTTGCCACCGGATGTGCGGTCCAAATATCAAGCTAAACCAACTGAGAGGTCTAAACGTGCTAAAAAGGAAGAAACGAAAGGTGCTGCACATCAAGGAGACGAAAATCAGGTACTTAAGAATTGAAATTTTGACTTTCCATTTTTGTTGTTGGTAAACTTTTTACTTTTGTTTTAGTTGGGGAACTTTATTTCTGTGGAAAGTTAAATGTGAAACTGATGTCTGAGATATGCTCTGAACTCAACAATTGATTGAAAACCAATCAGTGTTTCCTGTCTCTTGTTTTCCAATGGTTTACTATGTTACACACTAGGACATGTGTCTGAAATGTCTGGATCGGGCATACACCCCAAGCCAACAAGCAAGCATGTTTGCTAATTCAAATTCAGTTATTTTTATTGTTTATTCAACTCACATTTTGTTACTTTTATAGCATGGTTGCGTTAGAATAAGTGAAACTGCATTTGCTTAATGCTTTATGTTACATACAAAACACTATCGTGTCATGGCGCTGTTGGATTTTTAGAATTAAGTAAATCTAACTTTTAGATGCACTATTGCACCCAATACACTTGCTCAAATCCTTGTAAACTTGGTTTGAGGATATTTAGTCTAAATTGTTCTTTCACATTTCAGCTGTTAACAGTAAACACTTGGAAATTATAGTGTTGACTTATCTTACATGAGTTCTAATGTCCTAGTAGGCCAACCGATCCCATTGGAGAAAGTTCAGACTCTGCTAGGCAAATATGAGAAACTTATCCATATTATTGCCTTTTTTGACATTGGGCCAGCCAATGATGAAACTCTCCATTTTACCCCGATCTCATTGGGAATCCTGCTATTGTCAGTGTCTATTCACAAATGGAGAAGCTTTGTTATTACACTCATTAGTAGGCGTATATTGATCCAACTACTCCCAGGATTCATTAGGGATCAAACCTGCTTGGGAAAGGTCTTCACCTTGAGTTTTGATATTCTCCCTTCTCTCAAAAAAGTTTCTTGGAATTGTGAGAATATTACGTTTTATGTATATATGGTAGTATATATATTCTGTATATATTAGTGATTGAACATATATTTTTGTTTTCTTTTTCAGTTTTGAGGTTAGATTGTTATATTAATATAAACCGCTGTAATTCAGGCCAGGATTGTGTTTTTTTCCTTTTGTGTGATACTATTTTTGTTCTTTTCTTAATGTAATTATAAGATGGTTATTTGAGAATTGTTGTTTTATAGGAAACCTATGACACCTTGAACATTGCTGACTTCAAATTTCCTTATATATATATAAATTTCTTTTAAAAAATGTTTTCGGTTTATCATAAGATTGCGACACCTGCAAGTGAGATTGATGGTGAAGGAAGCAGAGTTGATCTTGAAGCGTCAGCAGCACCAATGGATACTGATGCTGCAATGACAAGTGGCAATATGTCACAGGGTGGAACTCCAACTCAAGATGAACAACACAAGCAAAGCTCTGATACAACGACAGATGGTGGTCAGGAGGAGCCTGGCCAGATAGAAGCAGATGCCGAACAAGCAGAAGCAGAGGCAGAGGCAGGGATGATAGATGGAGAGATTGATGCAGAGGTTGATTTAGATGCAGTAGGCTAAGACTCTGCGGAAAAAGTGGCTGTTGATACTAATTGCGAATTTTTCCTTGATTATGAAGGTTTAACCTTACTGTAATTGCCTTGTACAAAGAACATCCTGCAGAGTTCTGGGTCATATTCTCCTTTTCCTTATACATAAGCAGTCCATCTTCTTGTAGTGTGTTTAACACAAGGTGGTGGCTGAATGTGTATTGAGGACCAACTACTAATAGAGGATGCAATTTAATAGTAAAAAAGTTGTTTGTTGTGTTGAGATATTAAAATTTAGAAAGATTGGATAGAGGGTTGAAAAAATTCGCAGATTGGGATTGTATGTGTTCGGTTTCAATTTTTTATATTCAAATTTTTTTTTTGAACAGATATATTCAATTATTTGAAAGTTAATTTTTTGTTTTTTTTTTAAAAATATGTAATAAAAAAAAGAATAATATGACCTAAAATAGATTAAAAACTAACTTTTGGCTTTTTATGTTCTTCCCAAAAGAGGCAACGGCGTCGTTTTTGTATTTTTTTATTTATTTATTTTTTTTTTTTCAGCACCGGTTCTATGGAAAGTCAATTCCATTTGAAACAATGGAAGAAGCCATGACCGCTCGAGGTTATTTCAACTCGGCTCAAGCTATAGCAGATTATGCAGAGGTGATCTTGTACTTGAAGAAAAAATTATCTGCACACAACTCTCCAATTATCGTTATTGGAGGATCATATGGAGGAAGTAAGTTTCTATATTGTTTACAGCCATTGTTGAATACTTATATGTTGGAAGAACGATTCCTCCGGTCTAAATATGGATTGTACAGTAACTAATAACCAGTCTTATTTTGATGATTTGATTATTTCATTTTGTGGGCCTCTTGTGTTTATCATTTATAGAAAAAAAAAAAATTCAAATTAATTAGATAATCGAAACTACATGATTCATCATACTTGTCTTTAAAGCAATGGATGACCAATATAATTTTCAAACTAAAATATACACTGCTTAACAGCAAATGTGATGTAATATGATTTACCACTATCGGATCAATTTGTTTTCTTTTCTTTTTTTTCATGACCGATAAACACATTTTAGTTTCAAAATAAAGAAATCAGATTATCAAAGTGGGCCCGTGGTAAGCTCCATGAACCTCAACACACTGTCTGATCCACATTATGGATTGGAGTGAAACCCAATCCATTTATTTTTAAAATTGATAATGTAGCTTGTTTAATTTGTGTTTAATTAAAACTTACAGTGCTTGCTGCATGGTTTCGGCTGAAGTATCCTCACATTGCTCTCTCATTTTGAACTTAGAGAAAGCTAACATATCCTAGACAAATAGATTCGAGGGTTATACATAAAACAATTTTACCAGTTCAACCCAAACTCTTTTTTTTTTTTACAAGAAAATCCTCTTCATCTCCCGCAGGTCAAAGGCAGCGCCCCTTGCACAGATCAACAAAGTGTCCTGTTATCCATTCCGAGTAAGAAACTATAACCTGAGAACTTATCTCGACCTCCCAAGACAAATTCCGCTTAAGTTAGGACTCGCACAGTAAGGGAGTATTGAACCCACACCAAATGCTGTGGTAAGTCAGTAACAGCAACTTGAGACATAATAATCTCCTAACTAACTGCACCACGCCTTTTCTCTAATTACACTTTTCATAGGAGTTATTCCTTTTACTTACTGTTCTACAAGGAATTGTTTTCACTGGAGTAATGTTTGTAATTGAACTTCAGATACTACAATCGGCACATTAAATTGTAATTTATTAAATTAATCTATTATTGGATAATTTTTAATTGGTAATCTATTTAAGAGTTTGGCCTATTCTATGCAGGTCCTGCAAGCTTGCGTCGGTTTAAAGCTTGGGAGCTCTCTGCTAGATTTTGAATGCCATTTTAACGAAACCATTGAGAAGAAGATGCGATGAGTTGAGTTGAGTTGTTTTGTTATGTAGGTAGATATAATTCTAATAACAATCTGTTCATTGAACAGTTGAATGCTATAAACAATGCTTATAACACTAGCCTTATAAATTGGAAATGATACTTTTGAAATCTCTGTCATATATACAATCAAGATATTACGTACTAATGAATTAGAGCATGGTATTTGTTTGTTATTGAATGCGATGAGCATTTTTTTTTTTTTTTTTTTTTTTTTAATTTTAATTTTTTTTTTTTTTTTTTTTGTCACACCAATCTGAGGCATGACCGGTCGTGACTCACAGTGATTTAGCCCAAGGTACACGGAAGGTTAAATAAGAATTCATAGTCATACAGAATGAATGTAACAATAGTCCAATCATAAATGAATCAAAATTCAATCCAGTGACATGTTAAGTATAAATAGCAAAACCAGCCACAACCAACTTTCGAAAATGTACCTCGTTTGGGAACAGGCTTTTTGAGTAACTTTTGACTTTTTGGCTAAAATGTGATATAAAAAAAATTAGTATGTTTGAGATGATTTTTTGGTATTTTACGAAAAGATGTGCAAAAAGTAGAGAAAAAATAGAATCTTTGACTTTTTGGTATGGGTTGTTGGCTTTTTGATTTTTTTAGTAATTTTTTGACTTTTTTGCTGAAAAGGACACTTGCCAAACGAATGAGACACAAATAGTCCACACAATAAAATAATTCTAAATAAAACCCAATCAAAATGTATATGCAAAGAAATTAATGAATCTAACTAAAATGAGTCCTAAAAGGTCTATGCAACAGACCCTGCCTAGGTATGAGTTTAACTCTAAGTTCTGCTCTTACCTGAAAAAGCTAAACAACTAAGTCAGTTAACAACTCAGTGACTGGAACTATGAATAGTTAATATAGTTTCAAAAATAGAGTTCACTTTCAAAATAAGATGTATACAACATGGATTATATTGGCATACGATTTTGATAAAGATGATCTGATTAAAAAATGAAGTTCCACAATTTAATAGTAAAAAATATTTATGTCTCGTAAGAACATAACAAATGACATTCTCCATGTAAAATAGACAACATAATCGACATTATAAACTGGGTACAAAGAGTAACGAGTAACATGCCGCAAAATTCTCAAGGCAACAAGCATGTTATATCCAATATCGAACCAAGAGCCATCCCCAGGATGACAACTTGAGCCTTTTCTTTAAGATAATCCGATTGAAGGTCACTTAACTTAACCCAGGTCTATTCCTTACAATCATTGAGCACTGGAGTCATCACAATCTAACCCGGATTTGTTCCTTAGTGGCAAAGTCACCACACACAATGAAATAAATTCTTTGGACTTTTATATATGATCCTAATAATCAATATAATTTAATTTCGTAAAATATGCAAATTTACTATTACAAACATGAGACCATATCAAATAGTTTATTTTATGCCAAGTTTACACATGTTTCAGAAATAATTTAGTTCCAAAAATATAATAATAATTTAACTAAAATAGTTTGGTAACAAACTAGCAGTTCACTTTTCAAATAGTTTTAGGAAAATGGAGTATTTATAAAAACACGTAGCATTCAATTACTCACCTAATAAAGGAACAATATAATCCTCAATAGAATACTAAAGTCTAACTAGTGTTCTGAACCAATTTTGAGTAACTACATGTCAATACTAACTCAAGAGTTATTAAAAAGAATAGTAAACAAAATAACTTCCAGCTAAAGCACACTCACACGATCCAAATCAACCCAACTGGCCGTTACTCTTAAATTGTACTAAAGTTCATCTTATTCAAGGTTCCAAAACTCTCTAGATATTAACTACTATGTCTAAAGTTTGAAACCCAATTGATTTTATTCGATTTGCTTATCATAAGAATTATTTATAATTAATTATATCTACGTAAGTCGTTTTTTGCAACACTTCAAATAAATTGATGGTTCTCTTACTATACACAAACAATCGATGTAAGGCAAAAATGTAAGAAACTAGACTCGTAAACGATTCTAATGACTAGATTTTATAGTTTTTTGATTTATTTCCAAAGAGAATGAGACCTCCAAAGTTACTGTTTTGTACTAGTTTTTTGAACAAATTTTAAACGTATCAATTTATATAGATTTTGGCTCCAAAAAATTATGAGAAAATTCTAGTATGAAATTCAACATCTAGTTAAGCTACTGTAAATCTTTTAGTTCAAAATTCATCCATTTGATATAATTTTTTTAATTTTTATTAAGTTTATAATAATGTGCTGAATTTTAAGACCAACGAATTTAGTTCCTTAATTGGCTTTAAAATTTTGTACAGTACCCAAAACACTACCCCCATCAGCCAATCTGTTTCCTTTTTCTTTCCAACAACTCACAAACACTCACATGCAGCATAACTATGTATATAACATATTATAGTAGAACAAGAAAAGGTTGGCTCTTGGTTGGTGATTTGAGAATGAATTTAAAAATAAAAAAATAAAAAATTAAATAAAATATATTTATATTTTACTTATTTTTAAATTTTTTTTTTTAGTGTCCAAATCCCTTCCTAAATTCCTAACCAAACATAGCCTTAGAGCTGTTGAACCACAAAGCTGCTGGAAATTGCTCTCTCTCTCTCTCCCTCTCCCCCTCTCTCCCCCCTCCAGCACTATGCTGCTACTCTGTTCACAAAGCTGCTACTCTCACAACCTTAGAGCATCCACAATGGAAGTATTAAAATTGTGTGTTAAACTGTGTTATATGACAAAAAATGTTAAAAGTGAGACCTAAAAATGTGGGTTAAAAGTTTGTTAATTTAGTGAGTGAATAGCGAGTGAATGGTGATACAATAGATGTGTAAAGGGGTGTGTGTTAAAAATAAAAAACCCCAAAAAGAAAAAAAAAAAAAAAAAATTTAGTTGACCGCCGGTTGACCGGCCAGACGTCCGGCCGGTCTACCGGTCAGATCCAAATTTTTTTTTTTCCTTTTCTTGAAGGGTCGGACTTCCGGCGTGGACTTCCAGCGGGATGTCTGGGGAGACTTCCGGCCGGATGTCCGGAGGGCTTCCCCACAACACTTTCCTCTCTCTCATTCGTTAGCTAAAACGCTGGCTGCAGTTAACACACAATTTAACATCTGACACTAACTTTGATCACTAACGCTGACCCTAGCAGCTCCACTGTAGCACCAAACAACAAACTTTGCTGGTCAAAACTTAACAACTGACACTAACAAATACACTAACACATCCATTGTTGATGCTATTAGAGACCAATTTTGTTCGCCATAGTATAATATAAAACTCTAAATAATGCACCCTTCTAATCAAATCCAAATTTCACGTTTATCTTATTATTATTATTATTATTATTATTATTATTATTATTATTATTATTATTATTAATCTTTAAAGTTAGGGACTTTCATAATAAATTTATTTATAG